AGTCGCGCATGACTGCTAACCGTGAGAGACGAAGGAGCTCAATAATAAGTGGACAGGAGTGATGACACCTGAGATGATGATCTGACAGTTGCAATCTGACCTCCAGCTCTCACCTCGTCTCCTCAGACATTTCTTCACCCACACTCGACTTTGTCCTCTCTGCACAGACAGAGCAAATGTATAATCGCTAATTTAACCACCAGCTCCGTTGTTTACATGATTTCACATGAGGTTTTGTGTTCCTCTGTCAGACTAGATAATCTTAATAAAATCCTGTAGTCTGTGATGAGTCATTATTTTCAGATGTTGTAGTGTGAGCATGCAGTACTGTTAAGATTCTCCTGATGTGTGTAATGCTTCCTGATTTTAAACCTCCTGTAGTCTGAGTCAGACGATGCAGGTTTAAGACCCATTTTAATGTGTTGTTGTTGTAATGGAGCCAGTTTTACATCTCTCACATCGTTACAATGACCTTTGTGTCCTGATGTGAGAAAATGTGTGTGCACCTCTCCCGTCTTATCAGTTTAACCTTTCTCTCGCTCTGTCTCCATCGCCTTCAGGATCCTTTCATCAAGTCGGCCAAACCCAATTCCATCCTCAGAGCGCTGATCACAGACGCCATGGAGATCAAACTGAAGAGACAGGAGGAGGAGCAGAGGGAGCAGGATGCAGACGACGACGACAACTCGGTATGTGAACACATCATGAAGAGAAGCTGAGCCTGAAGCTAATCCTTCTTAATCTCACAGACGTATATTCAGTCCTGAAATGTCAGCGTGAATGTTCTGAGCTGCATCCATTTACATCCTGGAACTTCAACAAACACACTGTAGGAACTTTAACTGGTTCAAAACTCATTTAAATCCCCCAACAAAGAAAAGTTTGAACAAGCTGAACGTGATCACGAGATGAGGGAAATAATCGGCGTGAGGTAGAAACTAAAGTGTTGTTAAGTTGGTCTGATCTTAAAGTTAAGAAGGCGTCCGGTGAATTTCAAAATAAAACGCAACACACAGACCGTGATCGGATTTTTCATCATTTTATCAACATTACATCAAAACAGGCACAGAATGAACAACACATCATCCTCAGAAAGACAAAGCAACATGTTGTTTGCATGCTTTTCTCTTTATTCCTGCAGGATCTTGTAGTTCTCTTTAGATGTGTATAAAGCTGCTCAGAAACGGATTCAGTGGGGCAGGGTGTGCGCCGTCCGACGGAGCAAAACCGAGGTACTGACGGACCGCGGCGTCAGGAAAAAGACTTCAGTAATGCAGACTGCATGCAATAGCAGATCGCTAAGACGGACTAAAGATCGGTCGTTTTATGAAACAGTAAATTGGTGTTTTCGTAGAGACCAGGTTCTTTTTTCTGGGGACCTCAAGTGACGTCTGTTCAGGATTCATCAGCTTCTATTTCACTGAAAATCTTCTTCTCAATCGTCTGATTTCTGATGTTTCACGAAGAAGAAGAGAGAGTCGACTTCCTGCTGTGGAATCGATTCACTGACTTCTTCTTCTTCTGTGTGTCAGGACGAGGATGAGGTCGACCAGGGGACCATGGTGCGAGCAGGAACCGGAGACTTGGGGACCATCCGGGCCGCCGGCTCCTTAGCGGGATCACTCAGCGGTACGGCGCGCACCATGATCGAACACGACGACGACACGGGAACCATGCAGTTGCAGCTGGGCACCATGGTCATCAACTCTGACGACGAGGACGAGGAAGAGGCCGGCACCATGAAAAGTAAGACCCTTTAAACACTGTTTTTAACCAGCAAAACCTCATTGAGATTTCATGTTTTTCTGCAGGAAATGTTTGTGGATTAGTGCTTGTGTGTCTATGTTTGTATGTTTCCCTGTGACGACGACACAGATACCTTTGACTCACAAACATTGAATACAGCAGCCCGTCGTTAGGATCCCTCTGTTTGATGTTCTCTGTGACACAAGATCTGTTTTCATCCTCTTTAAAAATGTAGACCAGGAATGATTTGCATCCACTAGAGGGCACTGTGAGACCAGCACTCCCTGGTGTGTGTGTGTGTGTGTGTGTGTGTGTGTGTGTGTGTGTGTGTGTGTGTGTGTGTGTGTGTGTGTGTGTGTGTGTGTGTGTGTGTGTGTGTGTGTGTGTGTGTGTGTGTGTGTGTGTGTGTGTGTGTGTGTGTGTGTGTGTGTGTGTGTGTGTGTGTGTGTGTGTGTGTGTGTGTGTGTGTGTGTGTGTGTGTGTTCTATGTTTCTATCATGCAGAGAAGGACCGTACAGTATTCTTGTTCTCAGGACCTCTTTCTGCTCTCTGGACAGAAATTGGGGCTTTTGGGTCCTCTGCACCCTCAGCCTGGAATCTGTTGCAGAATGACTTAAAACTCAAGGAGCTGGTGTCCTTAAATGTTTTTAAATCTAAAATGAAAGAATCAGATTCTATAGGATGTGGATGTTTTAGCTCGGCTGTTTGAACGACTTATTCCTAGATTTGACTCATAGATTCTATTTTAATCCAG